GGGATTTCAGGTTTGGATCATCGCATTATAGATCACACTGAGTTGAATAAGGGTACTGTGTCTGCCATTGCACTGCAGCCATGTGCCAGCCCGCAGGATTGGAGAGAGCAGTGGGCTTGAAGAAGCGACTCAGTTGTCAGGTCTCCGTCATCTTGGCTCGCAAGAGTGCTGGTGTGATGCCCCCGGAAGACCGGGTCTGAGCCATGCACTGCTGAGTTCGTGCCCTGTGACCCCTGGCGAAAGAGCCCTTGTCCAAGTTGTCAGTGCCTGTGCGCTCCCAATTTGGTGTTCACTTTCTAGACCTAGACTCAGCAATGATGACAATGTTTTGAAGTCATTATTATAACTAAACTGTTGGAGATGTGGAAGATAGAGGAAAAAAGAACCCAGACCAATCCCTAGAGGTGAGAACTGCAGTCTGAAATAAACAATATACTGAGTGGGAGGAGCCACAGCTGAGCATCACATGGTAAGTGTTAGTAAGCTTAAAGACAGAGAGGGAAAAGGTAGGAAAGGATGAACAGAGCATCGGTGAGCTGTGACACAACTTCAGGGAGCCATTGTATGTGTGTTTGGAGGCCCTGAAAATGGGGGAGTGGCAGGGGCAGAACATACATTTGAAAAAACAATGGCCACAATATTCCAAATTTGATGAAAACTAAGGCACATGTCCAAGAAGCTCACGGAAGCCCCAAGCTCAAAAAATCACGAGAAAACTCTAACAAGGCACATCGTAATCAAATTGCTCAAGCCAGTGATTAGGAGAACTCATATGCTAGGGAACAAGACACGTGACGCACAGGAGCAGCGGTGAGACTCGGCGGGTTCCTCTCTGGGAACAAGATGAGTGAGGAGGTGAGGACAGCACCTCTCCAGGACTGAAAGAAAAACTCTGTCAACCTAGAATTCTCCACCAGGTGAGGTGGCCATCAAAACTGACTTTGAAAAAAAGATGTTTCAGACAAATATAAGCTGAGAGAATTCATCACTGGGAGACTTGCACTGCCAAAAATACTAAGGGAAATTCTTCGGGTAGAGGAAGAATGGCAGCAGGGAGGCATCTTAGGGAGGCACCCTAAGAAGTGAAGAATGGGTAAGAATGAGGTATTTTCTTGTTATGCAAATCCCTTTAGAAGATCATTGTTTAAACTAAAAACAGGGCTTATGACATAGGTAGAACTTAAGTGTGTGACAGTAACAGTGCCAGTGAGAGCATGAGGGGAGCAGACTTCTGTGAGGCTCTCTGGTGGTAGTTGACAGCCTGGGAGCTGCAGCACTCCATGTAAGTGTCCAAGACCACTGGACATTGTCCTGTAATAGTTACACCCTAAAGCAACCACTGTAATAACAAAACGAAGAATTGTAACTAGCAAGTGGACAAAGGAGGTAAGCTGGCATCATAAAATGTATGCATTTGATCCAAAAGATGGCAGAGAATATAAACAATAGAGATAGAAAACAAAGAATAGACAGTAGAAACACACAACAAATGGAATGATCAGTTTAAACTCAGCCATATCAGCAACCACTACAAATGGTCTAAATGGCCCATTAAAAGGCAGAGGTTATCAAATAAGATTTTTTTTAAAGTGGGTCTAAGTTTATACTGCCTATAAGAAACTCAGATACACAGACACAAAGAAGTTAAAAATAAAAGACGAAGAAGATAAACCATGCTAACACCAAAAGAAAGCTGGCAAGACAAATCTGCCACTTTGTAGAACACCCTTCTTTTTTGGGTGACTGTGAACACAGGAGTCTGGCTGCTGCTTCCCCTGGATTCCTCCACTTGCACCTCTGAGTTCCCAGGCAGCGGCACCCCTGAACTGGGAGCAAGGCCCTGGGCACTCTTGAGGTTGCCTAGGATGAGCGGGTGTCCTAGCATCTGGCAGGACAACCAGAGGATGACCCACACCCACTGAGAAGCCCAACTATCCCGGAGAAGTCACTTGTCCCATGCCACTCTCTGGCTGGCTCTGCTCGCCATCTGGCACAGGGTGAATTCTTCAGGGTCAAGGGTACCGTGTCACAGGTGATCTTAACCACTTCCCTGGGCTGTTTCTTGTTCCCACTAGTCTGCAGAGAGCACTGTGACATGCACTGTGTGTGTGATGAAGGAAGGCACTGGCCTCTGCAGCAGCTCGCTGGCCTGTGTGACTGATGGTAGGTGACAGCCTGGAGCCTGCAGCACCCCTGGCACTCGCTGACCTACTTTCTCCATCATGGGCTGGAAACATTTATATAACAGAAGGCCACAGGGCCCTGCTGTCCCCCTGACACAGGAGGAGGTGTTTCTAATGAAAATGAAGCAGGCTCCCCAACCTGGCACCTGGCAATCCAGTGTGTGGGTACTGGGAATTCAGCCTTCCACATCCCGGAGTCAAAAGGGCTTGCTGCAGGGTGCCTCTGTAGGGAGGAGCTCTTGTATCTGGTGCCACACCAGTCACTGGAGCTAGAGCCCATTTCCTTTCCAAGGCCTTTCCTCCAAGTGCCCAGGTGCACTGAGCCTTTACCAAAACTCTGGGGGATAGCAACGCTCTCTGTGCTCCCCCATCTGCAGCCCACAGCCACATGAGGCTGTTTACTCAACACTTCAACGTTGCTGGTGAACTTTTTACATTAACTACAACTAGTCCCATGCAGCTAGTGGCCACTGTGCTGGACAGTGAGGATAGAGGACATTCATATAGAAGGATGATTTTTAAAATTCTCTTGCTGTGTTATACCTTCATGTTAAAATCCTTGCTATTTAAATGTTCTAATTGTGAATAATTAGGACTAATAATTGGAGTGTGTTGAAGCTGCCTATAAATACATTTTAAATGTAAGTGCTTATTATTGCAGAAATGCATTAGTAGCTGTCAATTTTGCCCATGCCTGTCAACCACCCATGACTGCTCTTTGCAGGTGTCCGTTACATATCACATAAGTGATGGGATGTGCTTTGATTCTGTGCTATATTTTTTTTCTTGTAGCATATTTTTCAGGAGAAATAGTTTGATGGGGAAAAAACAACTTTTTGTCCCCAAAAAAACCCCTAAGATTAGAGAAGAAGCTTGCCTTTTTAACCTGTAATCTCTCCTGTGTGGACGGAGCCTCTCATCTTTACAAGTTACATCATAGGCCCAATGTCCAGACAGCCTGACGGGTGCGTGAGGATGCATGCAGGTTTCACAGCACTTTTTTTCCTGAAGGATTTAGGCAGCAGCATAGGCAATGTAACGTTGTCATTATTGAGGGGACTAAATGTGGGGTAGTATGTGAGGAGCTCTTCCATAGCCAGCCCTGGGTTCCTCTAGGACTTCCAAAGCCTCATCCTTCGTTGTCCTGGCACATTCACGTATGCACCCAGGCAGGCTGTGACTCCTGGGGGCCTGTCATGCTGCCATGTGTGGTTGGCTCAGGGCTTGTCCTACACCTAGACCCACACCGGGGTCATCCAGAATCTTCCCTTGGCCAGACCTTCCTCCCTTTCTGACCAATAAAGACACTCTGCTGTCAGATCCCTATGGCCCCCATCCCCAGCTCCCCTGCCTGCCTGCCCACCCATTCTCTTAACCAGTAGGCCCCCTGCTCCCATTGAGGCCACTTCTGTCCTCATTTCTCCTCCTGTCTGTGCATCTCCCATGACGCTGTGATGTCTCTGCACCCATGTGTCCCCATGTGTTCATCATGCAATATCCCTGTACATACCCCTCACCTCCCCACATCCTGCCATGTTCCATTGCACCCAGACAGGTGGTTCTCCAGCACCTACCCCTTCTGCGCACTACACAGACAGACAGGAGCCCAGACTGCCTGCTCCAACTCCAAGAAAGGCTATACAAACACCACCCACATATACCCCAGCCCTAAGAATGAGGTAACAACTCCCAGCCCTAGAGTCAGGGTCAGGTGTACCCCAGCCATCCCCCAATATCTGGGCTGTGTACGTCCAGTTCTCCTAGACCTCTCTTTGTCGTATTTCAGAGTCCTCTCCACACTGTCCACTCCAGCCCTCAACTGACCTTGCTCAAATCCTCACAAGTGCCTGTCTTGGTTTTGTGTGGCCACTCATACACCAGGGTCAGGGGGTGACCTGTCCTCAGAATCCAGCCCAGAAGAGGACCTGGATCCTCCCCAAGAAGGGGCTGCAGTCATGAACCCCATGTGGACCTGAGTGGGGGGCTCAGCTCTTTGCTTGGACATTGTCCTCCATGATTCACCCATTCAGGCCAAGTCCCGAGGACCTGAGCACCAGCACACAGCCTGGGGCTCATTGCACTCCTCCCTCCTAGAGGCTCACTGCCCACAATCACTCCTTGCCTGTAACTCACAAAGTAGAGCCTTCATATTGCCTTCACTAACCTCTGAGCCAGCTGTCTGCATAAAGTAAACCACAAACAGACCAATGAAATGGGGGTGCAAAGCATTTTCTGAAAATTTACAAAGGGGGATGCTCAGCTCTGGGGCAGTTTAGTTGATAGACACTAAATCCACTTCTGAAGTGAGGATTACCAAGGTATCTCTACTCTAGATGTCAAGGGCACAGCAATACCTGGAATTCCTGACTTTTAAGGGTAAAAAGTCAAAGTGATCCCCACAGCAGGAGGGTGGAATCCTGGCACCAATGTGAGAGTAATGGGCAGCATTAAACTCACAGCACCATGGGCACTCACTGGATGCACATGAGGGCCCCAGGGCTTACTGGGTGACCCCTGGGAAGCTCCGGAAGCTAAGAGAGCTGTTTCTTTGTTACAGAGGTGAAAACTGAGGTCAGAGGACTTGATGACCTGTGCTTGTCCTATAGTTACTGCGCAGTGGGGCTGGATCTGTCCCTGGAGGGCTTTCCTGAGGCCCATCCCCCTACCGCCCTGGCAGGTCATTCCATGGATGCCAAGGAAGCCTTTTCCCGAGCCTCTGCCTCTTGTCAGCAGCCTCCTACTCCCCCAGAGTCCAGGACATCCCCCACTGCATTGGCCATTGGTGTTGTCAGCAGCATCTGTGCCTTCTCTTTCCAGGTGACACCATCTGGGCCCCATCTATCCTTCCTCACGGCACCCTTGGCACCTTAACCTACCACCCCCAGCCGCATTTTGGGAGAAAGATGGAGTCCAAGGTCTCAGAAGGTGGCCTGAATGTGACCCTGACAATCCGCCTGCTAATGCATGGAAAGGTACAGAAGCACAAGCCCTGCCTTTGTCACTCTCCAAAGAAGGCATCAGACAAGCCGGGAGGAAGGGAGATCCTGCCCACTGCTGGGGACTCTGTTTTGTATTATGCATTCTAAAATTTTAAGTAATCTCAGACTTATAGAGCAGGAGCAGTCCAGCCCAAAGTACACTTCTAGTACCATTTGAAAGCTAGTGAGTCACAGATCTGATGTCCTGTCGCCGAGTACATTAGCATGTATTTTCTATATGCTTCAGTGTTCTCCTCCGTTACCGCCTGCATCTGTCAAGTCAGGACAGCGATGCTGATCTGTTCTGGCCACCTGACCACAGACTCCATTGACAGTCCCAGTCATCCCTGCACTGCCCTTCCCAACAGGGCACTCCGAGGTGGCCTCACACTGCATGTCCTTGTCATGTCTCCAGCCTCTTTCAACCTGAAGGACTTGCCCTGGTCTTCCTTGGCCTTTTACCTTTGAACATTTCTCTCCAATTTTTTTGTAGAATGTCTCTCATATTGGCTTTCTCTGATGTTTCCTCACTAGTTGGCAGGAAAATTACAGAAGCTTTCCTATCAGGTGGTCCAGATTTCAGGGTGTCCCATTACTGATCACCCAATCTGAGAAATATCTGCCAGGCATCTCCACCTAGAACTGCTTTTCTCCCACTGTTTCTAGGTAGTCATTGTTGGGGGTACATAGACACTATGTAGGTACCCTGCTAGTCAGTAGGCTTTCAGTGTATTCATTCATCCACTCGCTCATTCATGTCTGCATAGACTGACTCAGGGTTTGTTCTTTTATCCAATTATTCTCCATTCTGTCATTATTTATTTTAATGCTCATATTGTCTTGGCCAGTGGGGGTCCCTCTATGGGTCCCTCTGGGCTGGCTCTTATGTCCCTTTGACATGGCCCAGCGGGGGTCCCTCTAGGCTGGCTCTTATGTCCCTTTGACATGGCCCATCATTTTTATAGCACTGCCTGGCTTCTGGCCCGAAACACTGCTCATGACTGATCTTGTGCTTTCCCTGCTGCAGTCATGGTATCAGCCATTCCTTCAAAGAAGCCTGACTTATTTGAGGGGAGGATGGTGTTCGAGGCCCATATTGGGGCACGTGGGGTGGTCATTGCCTTTGGTCTATTGCAGGTCCCAGACAGAGATGGAAAACGTACATGTGTGCCTGTGTGTATATGTGTGTGTGTGTATGTGTGAATGTTGTGTTATAATACAAACATGCACATACACATTTGCATATTTATTTACATATTGATTTTTCTAGATTGGGCCCTAGCAGTTTACACCCCTAATTCCAATCCTATAGCACAGGGTCCATCCTAACTTCTCCTCTGTCCCACATTTGTGCTATAAGAAGCCTGATTCTCAGGATGTGTGTGGCCTCTGCCAGGGCTGGCAAAAGCTCTGCTCTCATGCCTGTGGTTCTGCCCACCCTGTATTTCCAGAAGGGGGAGTGCTGACACCTGGAGCATCCCTTTCTTTGATGGAGAGATGACCACCAGCCTTTCCTTCCCTCAGCTGGGGGTGGCATTTGGTCAAGGTTGTGGAAGCTGGATGTGCACCATAGTAGGCAGTCTGTGGAGTCAGTTATGTGGCCCTACCTCCAGCCTCAGCTGCCACAACCAGCACCAAACCCTGCCCATGGGAGATGACGTCCCTGACTGGCCACCAAAGGGGTCACTATCTTATGCTTAGTTGTCCTTTGCTGTCCCAGTCCCCAATGCACATACATCCCTTCCCCATGGCCTAGGCAGGGGTGTCCAACCTTTTGGCATTTCTGGGCCACACCGGAAGAAGTGTTGTCTTAGGCTACACATTAAATGCATTGTGACATGTAATCACAGAAAAATCTCATAATGTTTTAAGTAAATTTATAATTTTGTGTTGGGCTGCACTGATAACCATTCTGGGCTGTGTGTGGCCCACGGGCTATAGATTGGACACCCCTGGGAGTGGAAACGTAATTGCTGAGGTCTTTGTTTTGTGATACCAACAAGTTTTATTCTTAAAGATGTCATTCTTAGTGACTAGAAACAGGCTGGTCCCACCTCTGTGAGATGCACAGTGGTACTATGTGGGTCTCTCCAGAACAGAGAGGTGCTGTGATGAGCAGACCTGGCTGGGACCACATGTCCAAACTGTCATGGGCTTCAGGCTTTAGAACTACTTCAAGGGTGTCTTTGAATATTCTACCTTTTCAAAAATGTGAAGTAGCAAAGGCAGTGCTAACTTTTCTGTATATCACAAAATTGAGGGAGATTCTGTTGTTCACCTATTTCTTGCAGGGTTTCCTTTCAGCCTTAAGTGCATAGGTGTGTCTACTTGCTTAGCTGGGAAGCAGCTGGCCATTCCCCCTCTGCTCAGCTGTTGTCTGTCAGAGCAGGACCAGGGTCAGTGGTGGTCAGATGGGCACACAGGGACTCTCCAGACATAGGGCCTGCAAGCCCTCTTATGACTGTCTAAATGTCCCTTCCTCACTCAGAACAGGTGGGTTCACAGTGTCTGTTATAGTTGCTTTCTCCTTCCGCTCTATGACATCAGCTTTCTGTGATCTTTCTTACAGGAAGTTGGAAGCATCATTGGGAAGGTAATTATTAAGCAAACTCTCTGCCTCTGCCGGGGTCTCTGTGCTGTGGTTGGGAGAGAGGTGCCTGCAGGACAGCAGCATGCATCTCTGTGCAGTGAGGATCCCAGAGGAATTCTAAGTCTCCTACTTTCAAGGCAAACCACTGTGGGGCTGGACTGAGAGCATCCTGTTTACTGGCTCCCAGCTGATCACTCAGCAGCCCTGCCTGCCTCCCGTTGCCCTGGTAGCCAGACCATCCTCCTGGGTGTGACAGCCCAGTAAGAGTTCCTTTACTTCCATTCCCCAGAGCGGTCACCTACCTCTGTGAGTGGTAGTGAGTCTCTGCATTTCCATTCCAAAACAGAAGAGACATTCTTTGGGGGGGAAGTCAGCCTATTTGGAGCTCGTGCCTATGGGAGAAGTCAGCGGGGAGGTGCTGCCCTCACATTAGTCCATTTTGACCACCGCAGGATTCCTGGGATCCCAAGTGGTCCCTGTGCAGTGGGGGTACCTCCAGTGCTCAAAGTTCAGCTCTTTCCTCAGGGGGTCCCCCTGTCCCCTCCCGCTTGTGGGCCTGGTCCTGGTTTGCCTATGATGAAGATGGGGACAGCTGTGAGCTGGGTGTATTCCTATCTCTATGGAGCAGGTGCCCTGGCCAAGTGTGGTACGCAATCAGGTCCCCAGGTCCAAGCCCTTCTGCCTTCATAGCTACATACTCCTGGGTAAACACATGGGTTTCGTCCTCTGTGGCCTCACATGTTGGGTGTTCTGAGGGCTCAGTGAGTCATGGAGTGTGCCAGGCTCTGGGCAGCACCTGGTAGGAGGAAGCCCTACCTTCTGAGGAGCTGCTGCCCGCTCACCCAGGGCACACTGAGGTTCAGGGGGCTCCCCAACACCTCACACCGCTGCACTAAACCTTCTGTTTGCCTGTAGCAGACCCCTGAGTGACCCTTCTTCCTGTTGTCTAAATCTTTATTGCAGAAAGGAGAAACTGTGAAAAAGATGCGTGAAGAGGTGAGTTTGTGTGCATCAGCTGTGTACTGTCTTCAATGGGCAGGAGGGCTGCTGCAGTCACTGCACTTGACCAGAGGCACCCAGCAGCACCGAGGCCCCTCCCCACATGCAGATGCCAGCGGTTCCTGCAGGGACTGCCGTGGGCACAGTGCATCCTTACTGCTCACTCAGGTCCTTTCTCTAATTAAAATTTCACTGTAGAAGGCAATACTGGAGAGACCTTTACTGATTAGTGCCAAGCTTAGCCCGCCAGAGGCCAATTGAATATATTTGTATCAGTTGTTGGGGAGAAGCCACCCATTACTGGCCCTGCAGGGTCAGCTTTAATTCGGTTTCTGCGGTTTACTCAACTCCCTTCTAGAGTGGTGCCCGGATCAACATCTCAGAAGGAAACTGCCCAGAAAGAATCGTGACCATCACAGGCCCGACTGATGCCATCTTCAAGGCCTTTGCCATGATCGCCTATAAGTTTGAGGAGGTAAGATTCACCCACTTGAGACAAGTGCTGGACAGGGCTGGTCCCAGCCTGTTCTCATGCACCTCTTTCACTATATCTGGACAAGGTCATGGCCTAACCCACTCAGGACAACCTCTCTCAGCTCCTGTCCCCTCCGCCACCTCCCAGGACTCTCCCTGCTCTGATCCACCTGGTAGTGGATCAGTGTCTCCCTTGTTTGGTCCGCAGGTATGCTTGCCCATCTTACTGATATGTCCCCAGGCTCTGACCAGCGTGTGTGGGCCTCAGCCCTCTCTATAGCAGCTGGCCTGACCATAGGTAGAATAGTTTGGCCTAGGTGTGAATGGGTAAAGGAACACAGGTGAAGGAGGGAATTCCCTGTGGGGTCACATGAATGCCTGTGTACATATGTCAGTGAGTCACATCTTAAAGTTTTTATGTGTTTCAAAAAATTTTTTAATTATTTGGAGATACATTGAATGTTTTTATTCAGAGGATGATCAAGCTGGAGAATACATTTTTCTGTCAAAAATGTCACTGTCTCTGTCCAAAACCCCTATGCTCTGCCAGGCCCTACGGACACATGAGTCCAGGTACCCTCCAGTCTGCACCCTGCCCTGTCCATAGCAGCACCATGGCTGCCCTGGCACATGTCTTTGTGGGTCCCCTTCTGTCCATCCCACCACTCTCTCCTTGTCCTTCTGAGCCTGACTTGGTCTTCAAGCTGCTGTAACCTGCCCAACCTGACTGCTGTGCCCTCTCTCTGCACACTCAGCCATTTTCCTGGGCATGTGCTCGTTCATCTAGGAGTGCATAGATCTTCACACTGGGTCCTCTTCCCCATGAATTGGAGCCTTTCGGAGAAAGGCCCTCGCTGCTAGTCTGTTTTAGCCTGTGTTCCCTGCCCCCTGGCTCATCAAGGGCTCGAAGCAGAGCCTTGCATCTGCATTCCTGGTATTCACACACAGGCTGTCAGCCAACACACCCACTTTTCTCCATCCCCAGGACATCATCAACTCCATGAGCAACAGCCCTGCCACCAGCAAGCCCCCAGTGACGCTGAGATTGGTGGTCCCAGCCAGCCAGTGTGGTTCCCTGATTGGCAAAGGTGGCTCCAAGATCAAGGAGATCAGGGAGGTAACAGGACCATTCCCATCCTGGTGGGTGCTGAGCCACTGGGTGGGTAAGGGGGCATGTGCACAGGTGCCAGGCACTGCATGTGCCTCTACTGGGGACGAGAAGGGGCCTCCTAGGACAGGTGGATTGAGTACCCTGCCCCTGTCATGTGGCTCTGAGGCACAGAGGCCCTACACATGGGTCTGTGGTCTCTGCCCTCAGTTCTCTGGAAGAACAGGAGCCATCTCAGCTGGGATGGAGTTGGTAGGAACTGCAGAGTTTATCATTTCATGTTCATTCTTTTCAGGGAAGGCCTGATCCTACCCTTCCAGAATGAGGGTGGTCACCTCTTCTTCATTCCTTCAAGTAAATAGGTCACAAAGTTTAGGCTCATCTTGAATCCATCTTTCTCTGTGACCTAAAACTTCACAGAGGAGATAGAATTCCACATATTTGAAAAAAAGTGACTCCCTTTCTGTCTTTGTCTCCTGCGAATGACTGTCCACCAATTAAAATGCCTCCTAGGCAGCAGTGCTCATCCTGCACCAGCTCTGTGCTAGTGATGGGTTGAGACAGACAAGATCTGCCCACAGGGGCTCCCCAAGGGAACATGCGGAGGGCCTGGCTGCCCATGGAGGGCTGCCCATGTCAGGGTGGCTTCCTGGTACACTGTGCCCTCCAGAGAATCCAGGAAGTGCTACTTCAGCATTTGCTGCCCCCTCTTCTCTCTGCTCTGCCCCTTCCAACGTCTGGTTTCTCCAGTCCACAGGTGCCCAGGTCCAGGTGGCCGGGGACATGCTGCCCAACTCCACAGAGCGGGCAGTGACCATCTCAGGAACTCCCGACGCTATCATCCAGTGCGTCAAGCAGATCTGTGTGGTCATGCTGGAGGTACAGTCTCTGCGTCTGTGCTCATGGCCAGCCTGCTCTCATTACACGCTGGCTGTGGCTTCTTAGTGTTGGTGACAACAAAGGCTTTTGTGCTTTGGGGCCCTGATGTTTCATGAGGTCAGGGCTGTGTAGGGGCCAGGTATCAGAAATATATGACCCAGGTCACTGATCTAGGCCCAAGGTGACCCAAGAAGCCATGCCAGCCACCGTGGAGGAACAGCACTGGTGCCTGCCACCTATCGGGGGTGGTCCATCATCTTCAATGGGCTGTCACTGGAGAAGACATGTGGGGAGGCATGTGCTCCTCCCTTTTTTCCTGGAACTGAGATGGAAAGTTATTAGTTGTGATATGAAGGGTGTTTACTAAAGGGTTGGGCCTCAAAAATGGTAGAAGAGATCTGCAGTGAAGACAGGTCTGTTCTGAAGATGAGTTTGCACTGGAAAGGGGTCCACACTGGAAAGAGATCTGCACTGGAGGGGCGTCTGCACCGAAGACAGGCTGTGCTGGAGATGGGGACTGGAGGGGAAGGGTGCTTCCTGTGGGCAAGACTCCTTGCTCCAGACCTGCTGAAGGCATCTGAGAGCCCCATCAAGGTACAAAGGACAGGATTTAGAAAAAGCACGAAAATGCCCAAATTCTAAAGATGGAAAAGTAAATAAAAGGATTAAAAGCCAAAGGAGAAGCAAAGAAGGTACAGCTGAGCAAGACAAAGCCTCTCCTGAAATTTTTGGGAAAAAAGCCCTGACATTTAAATTTCAGACAATACCAAAAATGCAACAACAATCATTGAAGCAATCAATAGTTACCTGTGTTTCTTTAGGCTAAAATGAAGTCATCCTGGCTCAGATTAAAGGCTCCAGCAACTGTGCTGGTGGCCAGGTGGCGGGGGCCCAAGGATCTGCTTGAGTGACTGCCACAGCCATCTCCCAGGGGAACCGCACCTTGCTGGGCAGCTGTGGGTATATCACTCTTTCGTACTTGGCTTGGTATTAAAACCCATGTCCAACTCTTTAAAAAAATTGTATAGTTCTTATTTTCCTGAAGTGTATTTTGTGAAGTAAAAAAATATTTTCCTAAATGTTGTTCTGGCGTTTCCCCAACCACTGGTCGTGGCGACAATTGGTGCTGACCCATGTTCCCTTCAGTCCTCCAGTGAGGCCATATAAGCAGTAGCAATAGGCCTAGGACTCTTGAATGCTGGCAGGTGCCCATCTGTTAAGCAGCAGTGGGTGCCTCAGGGTGGCAAAGAGTTATAACAGTTCCAGTATTGACACAGCTGCCCATGTCCCCATCAAGTGTCAGAGGAGAACTCGTGGTCTCCTCAGAATTCCTTCCAGGTGGTGTTGCCTGTTCCACGTTCATGGTCAGCCCCCAGAAGCAGGCTCAACCCTCGTTAACTGCAGGGCACTGTCGCCCCCCCAGGCCATGACTGCAACTGCCCTGTGTCCTTCCTGATGGCTGGAGGCTTATGTGGTTGGTGAATGGTGAAGTACACACAGCTAAAATCAAAGAAAGCATTGGACTGGGGTGATGCCTTCTTGTCAGTGTCACAAAGCTCTTGAAGGTCAGGAGCAGCCATACTACCTGGGGAGGAAGATTCATCACACCTGGAAACGGTTGGGTCCACTTCTAAGTGAAGAGTAACTACACAAACAAAGCAGAAGACAAAAGGACTTTCAGGTGTAGCTATGGGGGTGGGGCTTTGAAATTACCACCTAGAAGGTTGCCCCTTAGTGCGAGCAAGTTGGTTGGGGCCCTGGGTAAAAAACCATGCACAGCAGCACCTGCTCCAGGGGGAAGCCGGACAGGAGGCTTTACTCAGAGGGCCTCTTCTTCATCAGAGGAAGCTGGGAATCGGGAATGCTGTCATCCTTGGCAAGATGGCCTGGCAGAACTCACAGTGCTAGGATTGCTGATGCTGCCATTGATGGGGTCAGAGGGCACTATGGAGTGGCGGGGATGGGCTGAGTCTCATGGTACAAGGGGCACGATGCCTGGCTCAGGGACAGGGGCAGCACCCAGACTGAGCCCTCTCCTTGAAACATGAAAACTGTCACTCGTTCATGCTTGGTTTAGTCATGGTTCTTCCACAGTGAGCCCTGAGTCCAGTCTGAGACCATAGTGAACCCCAGTTTGCACAGAAACACTTCTAGAGGCATTCATTCGTAACCGCAGAAATACTGAACCCCAGACACCAGTCGCAGTCAGATCACAGGCCTTCTTGGTACCCCTTCCACTTTATGGTGAGGTCTCGTAGCACAGCCAAGGTCACCCAGCATAGCCAAGTTTGCACAATCTGTTCAAGGTTTCATGATGTGGCCTGGGCTGCAGAATTGAAGCTGCTACCTACTCTGCTGTCCCCACATGACAGTGTGATTATGTGTCTTGGGTGGGGACACTCTGATGCCATACCCACCTGGCCAGGTTGTGGGCTGGACCTCCAGAACTCCCAGTAGGGCAGGCTTCCCTGGCCCACACCATCTGCCTCTGGCTCCTGACTCCATTACCAGACCTGGCCTGTGGCTGCTGCAACAAGAGAAGACTACCCACCAGGGGGACACGGAGGGCCTGATTGCCTCTGACCCAGGAGTTAGGTCAACTTTGGCAGACTTCGGATACTTGAGAATATCATTCACCAGAAGAAAAAATCCTATACTTTTGGACAGAAAATAATGAAAGGAAATTATAGCAAAGCTCATTATGACTGTGGAATATTTAATTTGGACTCTAAGCTTTTTGTTTTTTTTAAAGGCTCCTTTTCTAAATAGTGAAACTGGATGTTTCTAACTTTGCTGTGATTATGTCAGCCAGACATCACCACAGGCTAAGCAAGGCCTTGGGACATGGGGCCTGAAGCACCCATGGTGGAGCTACACACAGCCCAGCTTCTTCTGGAGGATCCAGGAGAAAGGGAGAGTTTCTCTCTCGGGACAACCCCAGGCTAACACACGTGTGGAGCAATAGTGCCCAGGCCTGAGGCGGCCATCTGGCCATCTGCCCAGTGTGCAGGGTCCTACGGGCAACGACAGGGTCACATCTTTCCTTTATTCCTCATTCTCAAACCCACACTCCCTACCGTACTACTGGGGTGGTTGTCACCCATGTGGGTGATTGGCACCAGGTGGGGCAATTAGGGTAGTGGTTAAGAGGAGAGAAGTGACTGCCTGGAGGAAACTGAGGTGGTGAGGGCATGGTTTTGGGCAGGCACCCTTCCACCACGAGGTGTCCCCCCACCCCTCTGGCGCTGCTGGCCCAGGGGGTTGGGGCAGATGAGGGTAGCAAGATGGGAGGGCTCGGGAAGGAGGCCTCCCCACCCTCATGACTGTCACGCTGTGAGGCTGTCTAACGTTCTCTCTCCCTCTCCTGTCCCTTTTCCTAGTCCCCACCGAAAGGTGCCACCATTCCCTACCGCCCAAAGCCCGCCTCCACCCCTGTCATTTTTGCAGGTGGTCAGGTAAGAGCCGACCCGCTCGCGGCCTCCACTGCCAACCTCAGCCTTTTACTGCAGCCCCCGCCGCTGCCCGTTAGTGCACTCAGGTTTTCTCCCTTCTCACGTGCACGTCTCCTGCCCCCCAAGCACTGGATGCAGAGCTCTCTTGGCAGACTGCCAGGCCCCGGGGTGGGCAGTGGGGTGAACATGGGCTGCTGCATAAGAAAGGCCGGGCTAGGCGGTGTCCAGCAGACAGAAAGGGCCAGGTGGGTACCCTGTGGAGTCTAGGCCCCAGAAACGTCTTCTCCCTGACCTGGCACAGGAGGACCATGGGTCCACGCTCACACCAGTTCTGCCTGGACTATAAGAGCTAGAGTCCCATTTTTCCCTGAAATACACATTCCCAACTTCCCACAGAGGAGTTCCTAAGAGCCCACGAGGGAAGAGTCATGCCTCTGAGGAAGGGAAAGATGCTCAACCGGAGGAGGGCCTTCGCGGTCGCAGCAGGCCAGAGACGTTCACTTTACACGCCTATCGTTTTGGCTAGAGCCACTGCCCTCTTTGCTCTCCTACCAGGAAGGGGCCTGGAAGGTCAGGGGTCACAGAAAAATTTTACGCGTGGCAGCAGTTAACTTAGTAGGGCCTGGAGAGAGCAAGGAGAGAGGGAGCTGTGCCCAGAGGCATGCCCAGCATCTCAGTTTGTCCTGCCCACCTTCGGGTTGCGCAGCCACAGCAGATGGTTGGATTTTGAAGACGCCTGGCCGGTGGTGCCTGGAGGAGCTCTGTGTCCAGTCGGCAGTGATGTGTGTCTGTTCAAAGGAGAGTTAAGACGGAGACTTTCCAGAGGTGATCCAGGTCAGGGGAGAACAGCCGTGGCGCTTTACTTTATCATTAAAAAAGAAAGGAAAGAGGCACATAACAAATTTCTTCATTTTTTTCTCCTCTACATAAGGGAATTGTATCTTCAGAATTGACTCACATGTCAGGTGAAAGATGGGGCCTCTGTTTCTACATCTTTAGTAGCATTTGAGGGATGCAACAGCTCCCCTGTGGTTCTCCCAGCTTCCCCATCCAGACGCGGCACACCCCACGGGTGTACGTATTTGGGGTGTCTCTGTTTCCTCCAGCCTGACTCACACTAAGTCTCCCAACGCCCCTGACCTTTGCCAGGAGGCTTCATGCTCATACATCTTCCACAACAGCCATGGGCAGGCAAGGGAGGCCCAGAGGCCAGGACCTGAGGGCTCATGGCTGCCCCTCTCTTCTCACCAACCTCAGAGAGCAGGGTAGAGCGGGGTGTCACAGTGGGCCTTGTTCAGAAGTCTGTTTCCTTTCCCCCCACAGTCGTGATTAGCTAGCAGGTTAGTTACCTGTGTGGTCTTGACTCAGGTGGGAACAAACCAGTGATCATACCACTCAGTGAAGTGTGGAACTTTATTCAAAAAGGAGGCTCATTAATATTAACACAAACAGGGTCCCAGGGAGCCCTGGCTGAAGTGGGCTGTGCTCAGCACCCTGCCATCCATCTCATCCCCCTATCTGTAAGGCAGGACAGTCGGCCGACCTCTCAGTCACCACCATCATGGGAACCTGTCCCAAGGTGATCACCAGGCTGTCAGCATTGTAACCCAGTGCTTATGCCTTTGGGACAGTCCAGGCCAGCCAATGGCTAGTCTTGGTCATCTTTGGGGGCCAAAGTCACATGAGACAGAGTCACCACTGCACTGCAGGTAACCAGGCAGAGGAGCCACAGTAAAGTGTCAGAAATGAGGGTGTAAATGAGACCTAACACAGCAAGGGAGCCCCTCCAATATCAGACCCCACACTGCCCTCTGGACACACTTCAAACCTGGACTTCAGAGTTGTGTGGCCAGAGAATCTCACCCTGACTTAACTGTGAGCAGACACCCTCCCTGCAGGTGGCCTGCCTGCGGCGGTAACATACCCCTGGAGGTCTCAGGCAGCGGGCAGGTACCCTGCTTCTCCAGCTGACCACAGATGATACAAGTTCATTTTGACAGAACCTTTTATCTGTCTGTCTACCTTTACTCTGCCTCGATCCAGAGGAGATGGTCAACTATGCACACAGTTTAAACAAAACTGAAGACCACAGCCACCGAAGTGAAGGAAAAGTGAGCCAGAAACTTAAGATGTCAGGGCAAAGACCTGCCCTGTCAGGATGCCCATGCAGCTCCACTCAGACATGCAGGACTGCAGTGCTGCAAGGCCAGCCTGTCCCTGCCTGTCTCTGTGGGGGCAGCATGTGTCCCAGGTCAGTGTGTGTTTGGTGACACATTGGAGCTTGGGGACACCTCCAAAAACCCTGAAGGTGAGGTGTGGATGCAGCTTCTGTGGACTCACAACACAAGCACAGGCAGCTCCGCACTGCTGTTTCCCCAGGACACTTGCTCTCTGATGAGATCACTTCACTTCCTGTGAAGTGCCACACTTGGGCCTCTCCGCTCATGGTCCCTGTCCAGTGGCTGGCTGGTCTTTAACACCAGGCTGGACTGCTTATATGAAAACTCAGCAGATACAAAACCTGCCATTTGGAAACTACCCTCAGTTTGGGGTCTCTGGAAGTGACTTTTGGACAGGCCTGAGATTCCCTTCAGATTCACAGGAACCTATGTGGGTGGGCCATCAGCTGTAAGCTTAGGACATGCCATGGGGGCCTTACATGGCCAGGTGCTAGAAGCCATGTCCCTCCACATCTGAGCCACCCTGTGCCTGCAGGCCCAAATGTGGCTGGCCTGGGGCTGATGGGCACATTCCACGTCACCAAGACCTGATGGCAAGTCTTTGGTCTTTACTCTCCCTTGACTCTGTGTGGTTTGTTTTTTGGCCATTAATTTTTGGAAGTATCTTAGCTGATGGACTGTTGAGGCAGGTGGCATGGGTGGGGCCTCTACTTGTCAGCGGGGTTTGTGTAGGGACCAGTAGGAGAGGCTGCAGGGTCCCACACTTGCTGTGACTGGTCCCAGTCACTGTCTTGAAACCAAATGAGGCCTCAGTACCCACTCTGGTCCTCCTGGGAGCTGTGCCAGGAGTGTGCTGCCCCACAAGTCAGAACAGCCACCCCATTCTCAGAGGCTGGAAGATGAACTGGTCAGTCTTGTGACTGATTTGGTTGCATTTATTACTTAATCTGGCTTTTGCAAAATTGGTTTTGAGTCACTTTTTAAAGACTTCTTTTAAGTATTTTAAGAAACTGGGGGTATGGGAGTCAAAAGCATTCAGGGGTGAGTCATTTCCCTCTTGCAGACCTCTAGGAAGTGGGGTGCAACTCCCTGGTTCATGTTTGTGGTTGTAGCTCAGCCAGCAAGGGGTGGTGGTGAGGCTTGACTCGAGGTCACTCCCCTTTGTCCTTCACGAGGCAGGTGGAGATGTGCTCTGGGAGGGGACAGCTGTAACCATAGGGCTTAGGACCTCTTCACATGAAAGTCCCGCCCAGGAGAAAGCCCGTTCTGCAGGAGAGGGCCTCTGCTTCCCTGGCTGATGGTGTTTCTCTCTCTAGGCCTACACGATCCAGGGACAGTACGCCATCCCGCACCCAGATGTGAGTTTTCACTTTGTTTCCCTTCCCTCCTCTTCTTGTTACCATTTACTACCTGCATGCTGCTGTGAACTGCTACAATATTAATATTACACAATAATATTAATACCGGTCTCTCAGTGTTCCTGACCTCTGTTGTATCCATATGACCTTGAATAACCTTAAACCTCTTAGCACTAATTCTACTCATGTGGAGGACTTGGCCTGATGTCAAATTGTTTTGATTATTGCCGCAGTGGGGGCTTTCCTTTGCACATGGGGCCTTGGGTGGGTGATGACTGTGGGACTGCCTTGTCCCCAGCGCCCACCACTGCCCCCTGGCAGGAATAGCAGTATCTTATAAGCACCTAAGAAGTGAGGTGATGTGTTGTTAAATAGGTCTGCGATGCATCAGAAAGGGTATTTGAACATCTGGGAAGGTGATACTCTTCCATTGTGAAGCCCTAGTTAAAACAGGGTCCATAAAGTATGAAGGCCAAAGGGGACAGGCCTTGGTTTCATTCTAGAGTTAGTAACATCATTGCTGGGGGACAAAGACATCCTGAAGGCACTTCAGGGAGAAGCATCTTGGACTCCTGTGGCCTGGGGCCAAGGGGACCACATGCAGCTCTCAGGCCGAGACGTGGGGCAGCAATGGAGAGTGAAGGGCTTTCTCTCTGGGGTTCAGATACAGCAGGTAAAGATGGCCACACTGGCTGGTGCCAGGAAAAATGGGGTGAGGGAGGAGGAAACAAGGAAAAGAGGCGGAGGCAGGCCGTTGGTTTTGCTGCTTTCGGCAGGTGGAGCGAGCCTGCAGTCCATTTTAAGGACCCTTTTTCTTTCTACACCATACTGCACATTTGCTGAGCTTCAAATACTCCAGCTCTGTTCCTGACAGGGAGGTGCTGCCACGCAGGTGAGCCTGCACTCAGCTCTTCTGCAAACCCTTGCACTTTGAATTGGGCAGGTGATGTGGGGGTCATCTGAGTGCCATGCAAAAAAGCAGAGCGGGGGAGGGTTTTTCAGAAGTAACTAACATTAGTAAGTACACGCATTGGAAATACAGAGATCAGTTCACTGTCACTGAAGGAAAGTTTCTATTGAGTAGAAAAGAAATGCTGATGATTTTTCTCCTTTAAAAAAAGCCCACCTTATTAATCAGCACATATAGAAATCAAATGATAGAGGACATGGTGAAAAGAAATTTCTCCCCACCCATCACACCCCCAAGCCATTGTTAATGGTTCCTGGTTTTCACCCTGAGGTGAGGACAGTATAATTCTAAATCAGTGGTGGGTGCACCTGCCTGTCCCCACTGGGAAGCCATTTTCCTCCTGCCCAGAATGTGCTGTTAGGGCTCCACTTGTCAAATAGAAGCTGGGCAGGGGCATAGCTCTCCAATGTTAGGCAGTTTGTATGGTGATACCCAGTTCTGCCCCAATCTCACTGCAGTCCCCTGACCATCCCTCCTGAACCTTCTGCTGAAGCCACCCACGGCCACCTCAGCCTCCACATATGCCAGTACCTGGCCCAGCCCGTGACTCCTCCACATCCCCTATTCTCTGTTACTTGAGATACTCTTTACCCTTCTATGAATTTATTTTAATGAGATCTCAGTGGTGGACAGTGGGTGAAGGTGTGAACCTCCTCTGCCTTCTCAAAAGAACCATCAGCAGCTTTAAAGAAAAAGTTGATGTCTTGTACTTCCAGGAGGTCAGTGGCATTGCCCATGAAACTCAGAGCAGGGGAGCTGTGAGACCCCAGCAGCTGTCAGGAACTGCCCCATAGCCCAGGAACGTTTCTGACTCCAGATGATGGGTGATGCCTGTCCTGTATTGTCTTAACCCACAGCCCATGGACTGAGGGAGGCAGATATTAGCATCTGAGGCAGGGCTGGCTCAACCCCACATGCAGGAGTGCTGTGCAGGGCAAGGGGGCACTTGTGGGACCAGGTGGGATCAGTGGCACTGCAGTGGGCAGGTTCCACAGCCTCTAATGGAATGTCCAGAGTTGTGGGGATGGGAGATCAGAATGGAGTCAAGAGGCCTGGTTTCTAGGATGACGTAGCCTTCATTTAACCCAGGGCGTGGCAGTCTCTTGCCCTGGGAAATGTGTGTGTGTGCAGTAGCAGGTTCAAAGATGTGGCTCTTTGACCTTACAGCTGGAGAACTCAACAGTGGTCTGGCCCTTAGTGAAGGGCCCCAAATCAATCAGTTGTTTTGCTCTTTTCATGTGATTTTCTCAGTGTCTCTTCAGAGTGGGTAGCTTGACAGTTTTTTCAGATTAGTTTAAACTAACTTATAACTACCGTTCTACAGCTGCCTTACCTCATTTGGTAGAGATGTGGTGCAGGTGGCTGCTGTCGAGATGGGTTTCTGTGCCGGACGTTCTGCCCTCTGGACCAGCAGTGGGTTTGGGAGCAGCTGCTGGCACCCTGCTAGGAGGAGCTTTTATAACTGTTTTTCTTGTGGGCACAGAGAGTGGAAGACTTGGATGGTTATTTATAAATCACATTTATAAATCCAAAACAAAAATAAAATGACTATTTGGTGACATAGGTGATGATGGCCAGGAAGGCAGTTTTTATCTGGGCTCAGTAGTCAGTAGTAATTTTAAAAGCTTCATTTCTTAGAACCCAATATAATTACTACAGGAAATATTAATTTATTTTATAATATAATTGAATGTCCAATTTAAATATTTCAACCACAGTGGCTGATATACCATAGACATCTCTTAGGATCGTAATATCTTACCTGAATCAGACATGCCTTACTAGAATACACTTCTTAGATCTGATATGAATATTTCTTCATCTAGAAAGAAATTACACATTTTTTTCTGTGCTCAGTTTTACAGAAGGCTTTCTGATATACCTTTAAGAATTGTCAACACCTCCTCCCACCCACCATGTCACCAGTTTCCCTCCAGGTTTTTGCACTTTTGCCCGAATCCTTCTGGAAGCTTATCACTCTTGTACATTCTGGAGAGGCACAGGGACTGCTGGCTGGAGGAAGGACTCACAGCCACTGGCCACTAGAGTGCTAGGTCAGCTGCCCGTCAGTCTCAGAAGCAGCCCACTGCCTTCCGCTTGTCCTGCCCCTGGCATCAGGCAGCGAGGACTCCAGATCCAGGTGTGGGAGCAGGTGCGGAGAGCTGCAAAGCCTGGACGGACAGTGCAGAGACTGCCCCATTCTCTCTCTCATCCACTATCTCTGCCACTTTAATGCAATTGCACCAGGAAGAAATTGTTTTCTCCTGTAAGAAATTAGTTAACTTCAAGCATACCCTCATGTGCGATCTTTATTTCTAGTTTTCAGTTTCCACATCATCCCCAGACTTAATAGCTCCTCGTTTAAAAAGGGTGTTGAATGCAAGCAACAACAAAACCAACATATTAGAGGTGACAAAGCACTGGCCACCTCTGCTTTCTTGCCTGAGCCTTGCACTAACAGTGTGAAGTAGCCATCGGGACCATCATCCAATTGCACGTGCAAGGAATTGGAAATTTCCAGTGAGGAGGCAGAGAATGGAGGAATGGGCTCACTCCCCACACCACTTGATTTCAGCAGAGGATGTTAAATAACTGGGAGTAATAAGGGCACCAGTATCTTCCAGGAAACTTGTCCCTTAGAGAGTAAACAGAGGGGAAATTGTAGGGACTTGGAATAGGTAGCTACTTATTGTGAAATAAGCAACGTGTGAGTAATGATAGAAATAAAGAGATCAGTGGAAGTATGCACAGTTACATCTTTCCAGGGGCTGATGGGCTGCACGGTTCACTGTAGACACATGAAGTCCTCTCCCTTTGCCCTGTGGGGAGGTGGCACTGAGGCTGCTCCTCAAATTTCATAGCACACACGGGAAGAGTATTCAGGACTACTAGCACTGCACTCTGTGGCCATCAGCTGATGGCCACACAACAGTCTCTGTTCTTTCCAGATTGAGTAGCTCCAGGTCGGGGAGAGGTGCCCATGACCCACCTGCTGTCAGACTGGGGCTACTACAGCCACTCTCAACAAAACAGGAGATCTGGGTTAACTGCCACTGATGTTAGTTTGAGCTAAATCTTCCTGTCTGTGTCCCCCTTCCCTAGGGTTAAACAAGTAGATCAGCTCCTTCTCCTACTGAGCTGCCCAGTAGCAGGGCTCTGGACAGGCCATCCTTCCCAGCCTACTCCTTCTCAGAATCAAGACTTCTGGGTGGCCTGTGGGCACACAAAAAGTCTGAGAAACACTGATGACAAAGACAACAGGGAAGAACATATATTTAATTTGGAGCCTCAGGAACAGATAACAGAATGGGGACAGGGACATTCGAAGAGATAAGCAGTAAGAAATTTTTAGAGTTAATAAAAGGAACCAATCCTTGCATTCAGGAGTCCCAACAAATCCCAAACAAAAAAAAGTCTACCTTAGACAAATCAAAGCAAAACTGCACAGCATCAAAGACCAAAAATAATTCTTCTAAGTAGTCAGAGATAAAAAGAATATTACAAAGAATAACAGTGAGAGAATGAGTTGACACCTCACCAGCAACAGTGGGAGCCAGAAGATGGTGACATAATAAAAGCTAGTTACTAAAATTATATCTCAAGAGCATCTTCCAAGGACCTAAATATAGACATTTCCAGACAAACAGCTGTGACCAACAGGCTTCTCATGAATGCCCTTTAGGAGAAGAGAAATGATCCCAGAAGGAAGGGTAGAAAGGCAAGGAGTGTGAGCAAAGACAATTACCATTTCTTTCATTAACACAAGCACAAACCATAAGAAAATATGGGTACTCTCTAATACACTAAAATTTAAACATTTGGGTAAATGAAAACACACTTTGTAAAATCAGTATCAGTGCTGTCTACTTTGTGGGATTAATGTAACAGAACTAAATAGACAGAAATAGGGTAAAGAAGACTAGAAGGGGTTCAGGGGAATTTAAACATCCTGTAGGTCACTGTATCATCAGGAAAAAGGTACAGGTATTGAATATAGGCTTTAAATTTGCATGTTAATAACAGTTACCCAGTGACCACCAATAGAAAAGACTTCAATGATATAAACTCCATAAAGGCACAGAAAGGAAAGTGGGTAAGGGGACAATTATTATTATAAAAGAAGAACACAAATGAAGAAAAAAACCCTAGAAAATCAGGTCGATAAGAGGTACAAAGAAAAAAAGATGGCAGAAATTAGTCTATATCTATGGGTATTGTGATCAAAGTAAAAGATTTTTCAGTAAAATCAAAGGTTGTCAGACTTACATAAAAATCTAGCTTTTTTTTTCTTCCTTCAAGAGACATCTAAAGAATAACAACCTGGAGAAACTGAAAAGATAGAAAAAGCTATTCTAGGAAAATACTAACCAAAAGAAACCCAATTTACAAATATTATCAGTCGGGGGAAAAGGACTTTAAGGCAGATTCATTATCTAGTCATTACATATTGATAAAAGGTTCAGTCACTAGAAGATACAATTCAAAATTTATAGGCACCTAAAACATAGCTTCAACATATATAAAGAAAAAATGACAAATCCTAAAGAGAATTTGACAGTCATTGTAGTGGAACCTTAATATACCTCTCTTTAAGTAAAGGTCAAGCAAGGTGCCTTGTTAGCGCAGTAGGTAGTACGTCAGTCTCATAAGTAAAGGTCAAGTAGACAAGAAGAAAGAAGATGTTAACAGTATTCAGTGAGATTGATATAATTAACATATATTGAACACTACACCCAACAGAGCTGAAGAATTCATGAAAGCATTGAGAAAATTTGATGACATTCTGACCATAAAGAAGACTCACCAGCTCTCACAAATTGGAATCATAGATCACAAAGCAGTTAAGTTGAAATCAGTAATTAAAAGATGACTTTTAAAAAGATTTGTTTTCATTAAAAGTTAAAGAAGACCAAAATAAATGGAGAAACAATCCATGTTCTGTACCATGGGTAGAAACACCAAGTATCTTAACTATGTTAATTCTTCCCAAAGTGAGGCACAAAATGCAATAATATGATTACAATCAAAATCTTGACTGGCTGTTTTAAATTTTCATATGAGAGAGCAAAACCCAAGAATCACCAATATATTTATTAAGAGAACATATGGTAGGGAGATTTGTCCTAGTGATAGGAAGACCTACAGTCGGGCCATCCTGAGACCCTGTGGTTTGGGTGCAAGGAGAGGCCGCAGGCAAGTGGACCTGAACAGAGAGCCGGGGTCTGGCCCACGTGGGTGAGGGAGCCAGATCTGTGACCGAGATGCCAGGATGGTAGGTTGTCCACATGAGAAAATTGATTTTTACAACATAAACAACAACCACAAGACACTTTTCTTTTTTTTCTTCACAAGAAAAACATAGCACTTTTAGAAGAAAATACAGTAGAATATTGTTCTGTACACAAGTCAGGGAAGGGTTTCTTAAAACATAACCCATAAAATATTAATTAATTTGACTACAATAAATTTTAGAATTCTGTTTCTCCAAAGGCACCATAAGGAGGGTGAGGAAATGATCTTTTCAGCGGATATAACTGAAATAGGATTAGTATCTGAAATACATGAGGTTTTCTTGTGAATCACCAAAAATCAACCCAATAGAAAAAATGGACAAAAGACACAAGCAAGCATTTTACAGAAAAGAGACCTGAATGCATATCTAGCTGCTTTGGTGACATATTTATGACCGTGAGAGGTAGTTGCATGGTATGTTTTGTGATGATTCATTGAGTTATTTATGGATATTTAAATTTTAGCCATTGTCTGTGCCTGGTGTTTGTCTATGTTTTTCTATCCTGACACAACACTAAGTGGAAATGACAAGCCTGGAGAAGGACCTGGAATATACCTCCTCTGTTCCCTCCCTCTTGCTTTTCTCCTTGTGATTTGTAGCCATTGGTGGGAACTGGAAGTCTGCTTGTTTGTTTTTTAATGGGGAAATCTCTCAAAAAGCTGGAATTTCCCTTAGCACTTTGTTCTGTTTCCTCCTTTACAAAATGTAGAAATTGAGTCTCAAAGAGGTGAAGTGCTCATCTAACTAAAGGGCAGAGCCAAGACGAGAGATGCTAGCTGGCGCCTGCCTGTCAGCTCCCCACTGGTGGTGTTTTTCTAGGCATCTTGGTGCTGGTCCAGCGCTTCCTCAAGGTGTCACTTACCCTTGTGGGTGAGTGGGAATGAGGATTTATGTGCCATTGTGGCCATTGTTTCATAAAAAGCAGCACATACATTGCAGTGGGAATCACTGGGTTTGGAGGTATCAGGCCCCTGCGTATGAGCGGAGCTGTGCTGTAACACACAGCTGGTGGCTCCGGAGCAGGGACTGCTTGATGCACCTCATCTGTTTAACCTCCAGGGGGGCGGTGGAGAAACCTCCATGGTTGGAGCCTGCGGACAGTGGGTGGGAAATCTCCTGGTAGTAAACATGACTGTTCGCACCAGTTAGCCTGGACAGCATTCCCAGCCTGGCATTTACACACATATGTTCCCCCACTTTACAGATGGGGATGGTGCCCCAGGACACCAGATGGTCCTGTCTCCACAGAGTTGTCAGGGTTTGAATCAAGGGGCTTCTGCCTCCAGAGCCCGGTTCTTCCCCACCAACAGACCAGTGCACAGCTCTGCAATCTTGGAGATGCAGGGACAGATAAGAGAGGGCCTGCTCTCATGGGAGCATGCCAGCCTGACTGTCAGACATGTGAGCAGGTGACAGGGAGTGAAATAGTGGAACAGAAACAGAAAGCAGCCTGTCAGGGCTTTTCGGCCTCCCTGCTGGCCCCATTCCCCTGGGAGAAGCCCTGAAGCCCCCAAGGATTGGTTACACACCAATAGGCTGCCCTCCCTATGTGAATCTGCATGGAAATCCCAGTGCTGGTCAGACCCCAAAGTATGCCCCATTCTTGATGACTGACTGCCCTGAGCAAGACAGGGCTGGCCTTCACTCTAAGGTCACATTTGTTGTCTCCAGAAACAAGGCTTACTTCACACCCTGGTAACTTGTAGTTACCTCCTTGTGAGCAAATCTTAGGCCTAGTTTGAACTCTCCCATGTGGGTAGATTCGGAGCACAGTCCCCACTGAATGCCTCCATGACTCCGTGTGACTTGTACACAGGGCACAGCTGCCCCAGCCCCAGGTCCATCAAGTTGACACCACCTCATTGGGAACTCTTAGAAGTTCCCCTGACCTCTTCTCCGCAGGCTGTAGGCACAATAACTGCTTGGGATGGCCTTGTGGAGTCTGGAATGTGGCCAGTTGTCTCTGAGCAGACCCACCCACCCAAGTGCTGCAGGTCAAGAAGCACCTAGAAGACAGGGAGAACCCTACGAGAGGGTACAAGGCTGCACTTAGGATGTACTTAGGATTTCTAATGTACTTAGGACTTCCAGGAGGGAAAGAGGGAATCAGCTGGCTCTGTGATGTAAATGCTTAGGAACAATGTAGGAAGACAGGCCACCCGCATCCCAGTGCCTCACATCGCCAAGGTTCTGCCTCAAAGATGTGATCAAGAGGCCACAAGCTGGTCATGGCCTGGCTTCACACCTCCTCACACTGAGCCCTGACCTGTAAAAGCAGGAGGTGGCCAGAATGACGGTCTAGCATACCACGAACCCCTGTGCCCAGGTGTTGCCCCTGCAGGGCTCAAGGGCAAGGATGGGACAGAAGGCTCGGGGAGAGGGGCCATCTGTGGGCAGCAGTGAGCCTCCATGCACTGGAAAGAAGCGTCTGGCATTTGTCTTAGTACTGAAGGAGCCCAGATCTTGCAAGATGGGACAGATGTGGGTGCCTGGTCAGATTCTCATTATACCTGGGGGTTCCAGCTTTGAGGGTCCTCACCTACTGGCCTCTGGGGGCTTCACAGAAGACCCCATTCTTGCCTCTTAATGAGTCCAAGGTTGGCTTTGGAAGTTTTGCCGGGAGCATTCTGACTGGTCTTTGTGCTGGGAAAAGGCTGAGGGGTTGAGGACATTTCCCAGAATGTGCTGTCCTCCCCTCAGGGGTATGTTTAGTTTTCATTTAAGAAATGAGGCTGAGATAAAAGAACTACATAAACTATTTCAAAGCCCCCTGCCCCACAGACTAGTGGCTGAGGATAGGGGACAGAGAGCTGCCTGCTCAGACACAGTGGGTACCAGTGCAGGGAGGCCTTGGGGCACTGTCACACACGCCCTCCACAGAACCTTCCAATACTATACCCTATAATCTCAGAGGTTACAGGAGGCAGAATGTGAGGCAAGGCTAGCCCTGGAATGACCCAGGTCTGCCCCAGGACTGGGCAGGGCAGGCTTGCAGAAGGGAGCATCACATGTATTTCCCACAGACGCACATGAGCTCTGAGTGGCAGCATGACTGTGGGGCTCTTAGGTCCTGTTCTGTGGCTCTTAGGCCCTCCCTATGAATCCCAGAGGACCAGCGGCCTCCCTGCTGGTCTGGTGGTCATTTGTCCACTGAGGCCCATGTGGTTGGGAAGTCTGACTGGTTCAGGCCACAGCTGCCAGGGAACCAAGAAGAAAGGGGCTCAGTGCGCCTGCTGACAACAGCCCATTGGTTTTCCCAGGCCAAGTCCTTGAGTTCTGCTGCGTCTGCCATGTGTTCGCATGGCCCCTCTTTATCTCTATTTGTACAGAGTTCTGTTACTGCCTTTTTAATTTGGTGTGACTTGTACTCGATGACAATAACCTTCTTAGCTCTCATGTCCCTCCTACCCCCAGCAGTTGACCAAGCTCCACCAGTTGGCCATGCAGCAAACCCCCTTTCCTCCCCTCGGACAGACCAACCCCGCTTTCCCCGGTACGTACCCAGCTGCCCTTTCTGACCTCCTCTCTTCTCACCTGGGGACTTTCTCTCTCTGAACTGGCTTTATTCAGGGCAGTGAGCAGAGCAGGTACAGTTCTAGCCGTGAATGCCAAGGGTGTGTTAACACGTGTCAGTGTGCACATTGCTGAAGGCCAGGCAGGAGGCCTTTCTGTGTCCCCTGAGAGGGTTAGTCATCTCACAGCTGGGCATCTTATGAGAAGGGACATCTGCCCCATCGAGGGTCTGCCTGTTCTCTGCTGCACTCAGGCATTCTGGGGCCCTTCCTGTTGAACATATCCACCTGGCCAGCCCTGGGGCCTGTTCTGTCCAGGCTCGAGAACTCAGACAAGCACACAGGGATGCTCTTCCAGTGCACATCCCAGGAGTGACACCCAACAGGACAGCACCTGCCCTGCCCCTGGGGAAACCAAGATAAGCCAGACCTCAGCCGAGGGCACAGTGGTCCTCAGCTCCCCTCTGAGCACAGGAGCAAGGGTGGGTTCCTTCCAATGACACACACAGAGCATTGCCTTGGCAGCTGTGGCAGATGAGAGCCCATCAGACATGCTGGGCTGCTGTGCGCCAGTCAGATTTTGAGCTTCCCTAGTTGAAGTGACCTTGCTTATCTCCTTGAGGGCAAAACATTAAATTTGTTTCTTCTTTGCTCTCCAGGAGAAAAGCTGCCTTTACACTCCTCCGAAGAAGCTCAAAATCTGATGGGCCCGACGTCAGGTAAAACAAAGCACTCTAGTGAAGAGTGGAGGCCTGGGCTCCGGGGCACAACCTGGGGAGGAGGGGACAGCCAGCACCTTGGCAAGGGGAGACCCATGTTGTGGAGACGGAGCCTGCGTGCCCACCACCTTCACATCCGTAGTTCCTAGCTTCTGCCTTGGTCACTGCTGGGAGTGATATGGTGGGTCATGGGCTCCAGCAGTGCCCATCATCCAAAGTCCTCGAACATGACAGCCACCGTCTGTGTTGTCATTTATTCTCCTAGTGGCAAGACGTGTGGCAAAGTACAGACTTTGCTATGATGTATGCCTTCCCAAAATGTATTTTCTAGGAGGCAGGAGCACACCTTCCCCAATAAGACTACTCTGGTCACCCTTCTGATTTGAATTAAAATGGTGCTGGGATAGTGCAGGGCAGGGCAGAGATTTATAGGTCTCATTGCCCAGGGCAAGGAGCAGTGAGGCCACTGGAGGCCTGTGGTCTGGCATAGTGAGTATCCTCTGAGGGAGGGAAGGGCCGCCCACTCCGCCCGGAAATCCTGGAACAGAGCAGAAGAGCAAGTGTCCAGTTAAAGGAAAGGTGCAGGAGAGGAGTGTTTCCGGTGGTGTTGGCTGTCAGCCCAGGGGTGTGTTCTGGGCCCCAGGGTGCAGCTGAGGCTGAAGGAAGCCCCAAGACTTCATCACAGGCTACATCTGGGCCCATCTGTGCACCTGGGGCTCACAGAAGTCTTGAGGCCCCCACCTTCCCCTATGGCCCCTCCCCAAGGCCTTCAGGCCTCAGGGACAGGGAACTCACTCCTCCTTGTAGTGACCTCCCTCCCCAAGGCCTTATGGGACCTGAAGCCCCTGCATTCTCAGGCATACACACATTTGCACACATTTCACATGCACGCACACGTGTTGCATTGCTGCAGATTAAGCCGGGCGAGCGTGAGGAGAGGCATTGACTTGTTTGACAGGACCCTGAAGGCTGATGCCAGCGTTGCTTTCAGAGCAGGCTTGGGTTGTGTGGGGGAAGCATTGTTCTTGTCCTAGAGAGGGGCTGCCATCATTGTAGGAGAGACACTCACCCTGGCACAGAGCCCTGACACACAGGAATACGAGTTTTAAATGCCATGTCTTCACATTATTAATTTAATGTTACTTTCCTCTTGAAAAGAAATCTGATACCTTTCTCCCCATATTGAACAAACGTGACTTGTGGCTTTATGTCCATCCCAAGCCAGGCTGCTAGAAGTTCCTGTGTAAGACTAAGACAGGACTGAGGAAATCTCTTAAATGATGTTTTAAATGTCACTGTTAATAGAATGTGTATTGATGGTTGAGCACCAAATAATTGTATTGAAAATACCTTTACTAAAAGAAGGTAAAGAACAGAAATTCTAGGTTCAGCTTTTACAAAATAAAAATGACAGACAATCCTGGATGTATGGCTCATGCAGCATCTTCCATCTGAGTCCTCATGCTCAGCCGTCCCCCAGGACAGTATGGTCCTTACAGAGTCACTCATGGCATCGAAACAGACGGTCACAGTGTATCTGGTTTTGGAGACACAAGTGCTGTGGAGGAAGAAGCAGGAAGGGGGTGGGGACTAGGAGAGGGTAGGAGGTGAGACTGGGCACAAGCCAGCCCCAGGTCCAGTGTCAGGGAGCACAGACTGGTGGCTGGGGGCACAGGGAAGAAGCTGGAACCCTTGGCAGGTTTTGAGTCTTGAAAGCATCTGATCCGCGTCTTGTTGGGACCTCTCTGGGCCATCCCGAGAGGCAAGAGCAGAGGAAGAGACCAATGTGAGGTGGAGGGCTCGGGTTCTGGAATATCCTGAAGGTACATGAGCCTGGTCTTTGCTGTAGGTGGCAAGAAGGGGTGGAGCCAGAGGGCCTCACGCTCTGGGCTGAGCTGTGTCACCCGAGATGCTGGGACCACATGGGGCCAGGAGCAAGAGAGCAGGGTCTCAGCTGTGCACTTCGGGTTTGATATGCCTCCTGAGGAGGTGGAAGTGTGGCGTACAGGGAGCCAGCCTGCCTTGGGCCTTTGTCTCCACTGCTTTTCCCACTCCAGTCCCCCTCTGCATTTTGTTGTCACTGTTTCCAAAGCAAGAGTAGATCTCGTCTCAAATTCTGATAAGCTGTCTTGATTTGCTGGCTCCTAAACTAAGATTTGTCAAGATAAAGATTGGGGCTTGGTGACAAATTAGGCCTGTGTCTTCATCCCCTACATAGGACACCCATATAGAAATGCAGACTTCCCGCAACCCAGCAGACTTTTGGAATCAGTGAAGCACCAGACTGGAAGAATTGCATGCTGGGCCGGGGCTGCTGGGACTTGAAGCAGGCTGAGTAGCTCCTTTGGGGAACGTAGTGTCAGAGACAGCTGACACCACAGCCGAGCAGGTGGCCAGCAGAGGGGGCTGAGCACTGTTTGGTCAGGGAGAAGGAAGAGCATAGGGAACAGAGAACCCATGGAGGACAGGCACCCGGGTCACAGGGTTGCACCCTGGGTCCCCATGGAGTCTCTAAGACACAGCCACACCCTGAGAGCTGCTTAGCATGGTGCTTTCTCTGTGCCTGTGAAGGGTTTCAAGAGATGTCCCTCCATGTGGCAGAGGAGGGACATCATGACATACCCAAAAGGAGAAAGTGAAATGTTGCTCTGCTGGGTTTCATTTTCCTTGTTTTGAGAGAAGCTGGGACTCGGGAGTTGCACTGCAGTAGAGCGAAGAGCTCACAAGGTCCTCAGCCTCCAGCTGCACTGACCCTACCCATCAAGCCAGCCCTGGCCCTGCCCAGCCTGTGTGGGCCGAGCATGGACCAGGCACTGGGGTGCCATGGAAGCAGCCTTCCACCAGCCTAACCGTGTACCCTTGATGTGCCCAGGTCTGGATGCCAGCCCCCCGGCCAGCACTCACGAGCTCACCATTCCCAATGATGTGAGTATGCCCGAGCCCCCTTGACTCTACTTATGACCTCCCCCTTCCTTCCCATGTTAAGCAGTTTAATACCCATAAAAGCCCGTAAGATACCAGATTAGAAAGGAGCAAACAGGTCTTCAAGGTTTACTTAGAATTCAGAAGCCAGAGCTGGCTGGGAAGCTGAGGGCCCCACTGACCCCATGGGAAGGCACTGCCCTGGTTGAGGGTTGGCCTTTGAAAAATGGGGACCCAGGGATGGTCTGGCGTGGCCCTGCCCTGTGCCCCCTGGGTCTCTGAAGGGTTTGGGGTTCTCTATGAGTCTGCAGGATGCGGGGATGTCACAGGTTTGTCTGATTCTTAGATCTGGTGTCCACCATCTATTCCTGCCTGGGCTCAGCTGAGGAGGTGGCCTTTTGAGCTGCCTTCACATTCAGTCCCCTCATCATCACCCTCTGAAACCGTGGATCATACTAAGAATGTTGACTCGGATCCCCAACCCAAGACACCAGGGCAGATGTGGGCCATGTGTCCTGGAGGAACAGTTGTCCTGGGCAATGCAGAAAGGCTGCCATGTCGGGGGCACGGGCTTTCTTGCCCTAGCACTAGAGCCTTTGGTAACCTTCACTGCTTTTCACCTCACACCAGCCCAGGAGGAAGTCCTGCCTCTTCCCTTCAGTAGACGAACCACAGGAAGCACAGACTTGTGACCTCAGAGGGAGGCCTGCTCTTAGTGTGGGAGGGGTCGGGCAGTGGGACACTTGGACAGGCAGGCCCTCCAGAAAGACTGCTCTCACCAGGGCCCCTCATGCAGCTGCAGGCCAGATTCCTGCATCGGGTGACATGGCTCTTCGTTCTCAAATGGAGATGGTTTCTGCTTTCAAGGCTCCAGACATGTCCTCCCTTGTGGCTGGTCCTCAAGTGGCAGCTCTGGGCAGCCTGCGAGTCTTTTTGCCCACACCATACATGCAGGTGGCCTCTGCTCTGGGCGTCCCCCTTTTGTAGCCTTTCCCTAAAACACCATTTCACCAATGCCAGGTATCCTGCTCTGAGCTGGGCCTTTGTTTTAAACCCAAATGAACCTAAAAGGCAAGGGGATAAGCTTGTATGGAAATGTTTCCTGTGTCCCCTCCCAGTGCATGGCCACCACCCTCCTGCTGGGAGCTCCTCAGGAGGAGGGTACCTTCTGGAACCTGTGTGCCCTGCAGAGCACACTCCTTGACCCTTCCTAGCACATTCCTTGACCCTTCCTGGCAAAGGATCTCATGCAGGGAACGTGTACCCCCTGGGCCTCCTACCACCTTGGAGAGAGAAGGAAGGAAGTAGAATGTGTCTGTTGGGACACTTGCCTTTCATCTTGTTCATTTTTGTCTCTTGGTCAAAGTTAAATCAGACAAAGGGAAATTGTGCCAACACATATATGTCACCATAACTTACTCACAGATGAATGTGATGACCTAAATGGCACACAGGATCCACGACATAGCCAGCCAGCCCTTGTGGCCATGGGAATCCTGGCTAGGTCGGGGCCGTGCATGGAGCTACATGCATGGAGCTGTGCATGGAGCCGCCCCCAGCAGCTGGCAGCCTTGTGTTCCATCTCTAATGGTCACCGCTGTGCTCTCACTGCCTGTTGCACAGCTTGCCTCACTTGTGTCACTGTGCCTGTGGTGTCCCCATGCTCGGGCCCCTTCTGCTGGGACAGGGAACCTTAGGGCTCACACAGGCAGCTGTAGAAGGTGTGATAGGGTAGGTATGCCCCTTGGTTCCTGTGGGGTTTGACGTGGAAGTCTGGTGAGGAGGAGGCTGTGTTATTTGAGAGTTCCTCTCTAGTCTTTCTTTAAATGTCCAATGAGGCACAAAGGGCTTAGAGGGCTGGTTTCCGGACCGAATGCCTGAGGAGCCTGGAGAGCCAGAGGGGCCAGGTGAAAAGGCAGCCTTGGGTAGCAGGGCTGGCCTAGCGTGCCTTCTACCAAAGGAGCCAGCCTGGGCCCTAGCTGGTGTGGGCTTCACGCTTCGTCCGGATTAGAGAGGCCTGTGGCTTCTCACATACCCTCTAGCTGCTTAGAAGAATCTTAGGCTCAGCCGGCTGTCATTGTCAGGGGGCTGCATGACAGCTGGGGTTTCTCATTAGCACTCAGACAGCATGGTTTTATCTGGGAGGGAGTTGTTTCACATCAGCCATGGAGGGGTGGGCAGAGAGCAGCTCAGGGTCCCTTGTGTGTGAGGTCTCAGGGAAGGGAGATGCTCTGAAGTGGTGGGGAGGGCTGGGTGTGAGGATGTTTTCAGCAAGAAAATGGAAAGACAGACGTGTTTAAGAGAACTAGGGATGGAGACATGCCAGAGGAAATCTTCCTCAGGTGGCTTACTGGAGCAGAAATGAGGAAGGCTGTGCAGTAGGCGCATAGCACTGTGTGGGCTGGGCAGGGCCACTTGCACCAAGGTGTGAAGGCACTAGAAGAGAAGGTGGGCTGCCAGACAGTTGGTTTCTAGTGGCCAAGGCAGGTGTGAGGACAGAGGGAGGACAACGGAAGGACACCAGGTCAGGGCAGGGAGCTTAGGTGGACTCCTAAGGACCCGAGTCTTCAGGGAACTTAGCTGGCCCTGCATTCCCCTTGCAGTTCTGCTGCCCCCAGGCCCACTGCAGCAGGCCTGCCAGTCATCTGCCTTGACTGGGTCAGTGAGGAGTCCTCAAGATTTCTCTGCTAGCGGGAGGGTGGCAGGGAAGAGCAAGTCAAGGATCTTGGGCTGATAACTCTATAATTACTCTCCCTAACCTCAGGGCCAGGCATGAAGGAGTGAGGGGCGATGCTGGTGAGATACGGGCAGAGCCTAGGGAGGTAGGTGGGCCCCAGGGTGTATGGGCAGGGCCTGGGAAGATGTAGGTAGAGTTTGGGGGAGAGTAGGTAGAGTTAGGCAGGAGGTGGAGGAAGCTGAGCAGCTTGGGGACAGAGGTTTGTCTGGACATTTTGGGGCAGGGGGTTGTGTTAAGGTCTAGTTGGCAGTTGGTCTAACCTAGGAGAGTAGCAGAGATGGCCTTACAGATGAGCACAACTGAGATACCATAAGTCACCTCATGGAAAAGCAGTAGAGATGCACCTGTGTCCACAGTGAGCTGTTGTCATCACATAGGTTCAGAATCCCTTCACTTGGAAATGGATTTCCTGCAGCCTACCCCCAGACCCTGCACCTGCTGCCTTGCTGACATGAGAAATCAGAACTTATGTTAGCACTTGTGGTGACACCCTCGCCCAGGCTGCCACAGGAGAGGTGGATAGGAAACCAACTGCATAGGCCCCACTTTCCAGCCTCTTCTCTCCGTGTCAGCTGTCACTGAGGCCCCCGTGTGAATGAAAGGACTCAGTTCTGTCCATGGACTCAGACTTCCATGTGCAGCAGGGTGGGCTGGGAGAGGCCCTGGAGAGCTGGTCCTGACCTCAGGCTGCACTCTGGTCCCACATGTGGCTGTTCCGTGTCCTGGGGACGCCCTGGCTCTGGTCCCTCTGGCTCCTTCATTCTCCATGACCATCTCCTCCTCTAGCTGGCTGAGTGGCCCAGAGGCTACTGCATTCATCCTTGAACAGAGTTCACAGGATGGGAAGGAAAGAGAGCATCTGACATGTCCTCAGAATTTCACCCAAGTTTATCAGAAGACAGGTTATAAACAGCAGTGAGCTTTACTCTGGTTTCAGGCAAACATCCCACCACTTTGAGAACCCAGCCAAGAAGATGTCAACATGGCCTTAGCCTTGGTGCTGGTGTTGGGTCTCTGGGTTCCACGTCTCTCAGGCCCCCAAGGGACACTGAGCAAGTGACAGCCATGTGGCTCTCCAGTCTCCTGATTTTCTGGGATAGCTTGCAAATAGGTCACCAAGCAGAGCCCTGGTGCCCATGCCTCCCATCCCTTCCACAGGAAAGCAGTGCCTCTCGCTTCCGGAAGCAAGGAGTTGGTGGCCTGGGGTGGAAACCAAGGCTGGGCCACCCCATGAGCTTCCCCCAGGGCTCTGCACACTCTGCTCAGGGCCACCGTGGGTTCTTCTCTAAGAAATTCCCCCATCCTTTTTTCTAGCTAATAGGCTGTATAATTGGACGCCAAGGGACCAAAATCAATGAAATTCGACAGATGTCTGGAGCTCAGATCAAAATTGCCAATGCTACAGAAGGGTCATCAGAGCGCCAGATCACCATCACAGGGACCCCAGCCAACATCAGCCTTGCTCAGTACCTCATCAATGCCAGGTGAGTGCAGTCAGTGGCTAGGGCACTCGGAGACTGGCTCCTGTGGGTGCAGAGTGGGCCTCCCCAGGGCTTCCCCTGGCTGGGCCTAGCATGGAAGGTGCTGGAGAGTCTCCACACAGACCTGGGGCCTTTTCCACTTTACCTTTCACCCTGAAGGATCTTCAGTGAGGGCCTAGGTGGTTAGAGGTAAGAGTATTCTCAGGAAGGCAGTAGCTACGCCATCCAGGGTCTGGGGTCAGCCATATACCTGGGTTAATTGAGATTCAGTATAAAGGGTCCTGTAGTTTCAGAGACACATTACTAGGTTATTCTGCTCTCATGGTGTGTGTTGTGGAGACCCCCCAAACCTTGACACTTGCAGAGTAGTGCGTTAGGGAACTGTGGGAGGGTTCATGGTTACACGCTGGGGGAGGTAGGGTCCTGTGTCCCAGCTAGGGCACATGGTGAGGAGCCCAGAGCAGCAGGCAACTCTTCTGACCATTCTTGAGCCACTCACCTCGGCCTTTTTGCCCAGGGCACATTGGAAAACATGGTGTGACCACAGGAAGATGGGACCTCAAGGGGGCGGGAAGGCACCCTGCCTCTACCTGGGGCCAGACCCTCCTCCCTACCCCACAGTGTTGAGGGAGCTGGAAGGAGACCCAAGTAGACAGAGAGGCAGCCCCTGTGGGCAGTATGACTCCAGTGCCTCTCCCTGAATGGTTGCTGTAGAAATGGTTGTGATGGCTTCTGACTGCCCAGGTGGTTCTGGTCATGCCTCTAATATGGTGACAGGCATGGGGCATTGGGATGGAGAGGCTGTGAGCCTGGGAAGGAAGAACCCCAGGATCTGGTCCCTACCGTCCTTTTCTTTCTGCTGGGCTGTTGTCTCCAGCTCAAGGCTGCTGAGCAGTGAACTGAGATTCTGCCGTATAAAAAGGGAGATGGGTGCCAGAGCTGCGAGGATGCCACAGAGTGATGCATTCCAGTATGGTCTCATTTTATGAGAACGCTGTGACCTGTCTCCCTGTGCCTCTGTCTCTTCTAGGCTGACGTCTGAGGTCACTGGGATGGGCGCGCTCTAATCCTGCCCGGCATCCTCCACACCACGAACCTTGGCGTCCACTTGGTTCACGCACCCTGTACAGACAGCCCACCCTTCGCCACAAATACAAATAGAGGTTTTCTTTACTAACAGAACGGTCTGTGCCGTAGAGGTTCACATGTTGACAAAGCAAGTCTATATCTACAGCTGCCTGTGAGCTGCAGGCCCTCCCTGACTCCGCTCATTCAGTAACTTCTCCAGTCTGCTCACACGTCGCATGCAGTGCTTATTCTGTTCAATGCTTGGGGGCATTCCCATCTATGACATTTTAGAAATATCGTTCCTTAGTGTCAGTGTAACTGTTTTAAGAGTTGGTTTAAACATTTCGACAGCACATCCTATAAGCCATCCTCTCCTCAACCGTCTAGACCCGTGGCTGCCCCTCCCCTGGCCCTACCTGTGCACTCTCTTTCCCCGTGCAGCCGTGCTTGTCTTGGCCCACGTGTCCACGCAGGTCTCGTGCTGGGGTCAGGCTGTGTCCTTCCCCTTGTTCTTAGGGAAGGAAGGGAAGGTGCCAGGTCCTGATCTGAGAAGTGATGTGAAGGGGTGTGCTAGGCCCTGACGTCACAGAGATGTCATGGTGGGGGGCACACATGGGCCCTGGCGGCTTCCCGGGTGGCTGGAGGGCATGGACTGACCAGGAAGCTCCTCAGCACCATGTTCGAGTTCAATAAATGTTGTGGGCTGTCCCCACTGTCTCTGGCTCCTCTCTGTGCCCCTTGCTCAGACCCCGCCGTGGGTATGCACACATGCTTGTGTGGACACACAGGCACACACACGTGCCTAGTCACACACTAATGAGACCTGACCCTATGGCCACCTGCTATCTAACAAAGCTGATTCTCTCTCACACAAATTAAGACTTTGTCCCCTATCTCCCAACCCTTTCTTAATTGTTTGACTTGCACAAATCTTTCTAGTTTTACTTTTGCAAAACTACTTCAATGACAATAACAAAAACTCCATTCTTGCCCTTGTTCCAAAGTGCCAATTTCTCCCCCTGTCCTTGTGGGCATGGGAGACTGGGCCACCCATGGTGACCCCAGACACTTCCCAGAATGTACATTCACACCCTCACCGAACTGTCCACTTGGCTTAACTGTGCTCACCTTGAATGAGCCCGTGGCTCCTCTTGGATGCTAAAGCCCTGGTTGGGAAACAGGTCCCAGGCAGAGGGCGACCGACAGATGTACAAAGACCATCGACCTCTAGAACCCATCAAGCATGCAGTGGCTGGGATGATCTTCCCCCCACTCCCCTCTTAGCAGGAGTCCCCTTTGTCTGCCCAAACTCTGGCCAGACCCCAGGCACCCACCCTGTGTGCCCAGGCCTCTGCGACAAACTTCCTTCACCGTCCCTGGGGTCCCCTGCTTGAAGCTGGGTTCACAGAATAGCAGTGTCAGGCCACATTGCACATCAGATGGTTTAAGTTCATGCAGTTCACCCATCCCCCAGATCCATTGGCCACGTGCCAACTAACACTCGGGGCCTGGGAAGTGGCAGGGATGTGGTGGACATGGGCCTTCCTCTGGGCACCCCCATCAGTATGGGGGCAGCAGGTGGCCAGTAGACAAGGTGAATAAATGCCTCAGAAAGCAATAGATGTGATAAACCCAGCAATGAGGAGGGCATCAGAAAATTGGAAGTGCAGGGTTAAACGGGTGACAAGGTGGGCCTGGACAGAGAACAGCAGGTAGAGGGGCAGCTGGAGCCAGGGCTGGGCACCAGAGCTGGTGCAGGTAACACAAGGGCACAGGGCACAAGCTCTGAAAGCTGCAGGCACTGCCAGAAGGTGGGGCCGTGCCAGGGAACATGGGCTGGGCTCTGGAGGCGTTTTGAAGGGAGAACCAGCAGGATTCCTGAGTGCAGACTGTGAAAGAAAAGGTCTAGGCAGACAGAGGGCTCTCTCAGTCTGAGCTCTGGGGAGGCTGCTGGTGAGGTGTGGGGCAGTGGGGGAAGGGTGGGCACAGGGTGATACAGGGACAGGGAGGTGTGACTGGTCTGTTGGGTGGCAGCAGCAGCCCAGGAGCAGTTTGGGGAGTGAGTGCCAGGGGGACTTCGTGTAGGATGCCTGCAGGAGTCAGCACGGGGTGGGTAGGGGAAATAGGGCAGGGGCTGTGCCCAGATGGGATGACCCTGTGCCAGGTGGGTCACCTGCTCCAGGTGATGCCCAGCATCCTGAGGTGAGGGGTGTTGTCGGGGTGGGCTCACCCTTGAGTAGACACTACATATAAAACTGCTGTGAACATCCATGTACAAAACCCAGTGTGGACATATTTTTTACATTTCTTGTGAGTAGATAGCTAGGCATGAAGTGGCTGGATCATATGGTAGGGGTGCCAGCTCCTCCCCCCCGCCCCCGCCGCCCTCAGCAGCATCCGCCAGCTCAGTCTTCATTCTTCCTGTCTCCACGGGTGCAAAGTGACTCCTGGTTGTGGTTTTAATTTGCATTTCTGGTGACTAATGATGTTGAGCATTTTTTCATGTGCTTATTTGCTGTCTGTATCTTTACTGAAGTATTTGTTCAAACCTTTTGCCCATTTTATGAATTTGGTTTTCTTACTGAGTTTTGTGAGTTCTTAATATATTCTGCATATTGATTCTGAAGTACATGCTTTGCAAATATTTTCTTCCAGTCTGTAGCTTGTCTTTTCATTCTCTTAAAGGTGTCTTTTGAAGAACAAAAGTTTTTAACTTGATGACATCCTAACTGTTAATCCTTCTTTTATGGATTGTGCTTTTAGTGTCATGGTTAAGACATCTTTGACCCAAAATCACCAAGATTTTCTCATTTTTTTCTTCTAGAAGTTTTGTCATTTCCCCTCTGAACTGCCTTTGCGCCTTCTCAAAAGTCAGTTCTCCATGTACGTGTGGGTTTGCTTTTTTCTGCGCTCCCTTTTCCTTTCCATTGGCCTGTTTGTTTGTCTTTATGCCAGTACCACACTGTCTTACCCACTGTAGCCATATAAGTCTTGAAATCAGATAACAGTGTTCTTTTCAAAGTTGTTTTGACTATTGTTCTAGGTCCTTTTTGTATTTCCATATGAATGTTAGAATCAGCTGCTAATTTCCCACAAAAAAAATCTGCTGGAGTTTGGGTTGAGGTGGTGTGGACCTACCATTAATTCAGCGATAATTGGCAACTTTAACAACAAAGAGTTATTGGACCCATGAACAGGTATATCTTTTCATTTTTTTATATTTTAGATTATTTCAGCAGTGCTTATATATTTCATTGTACAGGTTTACAAATATTTTGTCAGACTTATCCTGAAGTATCTCATATTTTCTATACTGTTTTGAATTTTTAATTTTATACTTGTTCATTGTCAATATATAGAAATACAGTTGACTGTGTATATTAATCTTGTATCTTATAACCTGCGCAACACACTACAATTGTGGGTTTGTCTATTTCTCCTTGCATTTCTATTTTCACTTTGTTTTGAAACTATTGTTAGGTGCATAAATGTTTAGTGTCGTTATATCCTCTGGATCAGTTGATTATGAAATTGCCTTCTTTGCCTCTAATATTATTCTCTTTTCTGATATCCACTTTGTCTGATACTAACACAGTCACCATAGCTTTCCTCATATTAGTGTTAGCATGGTATGTTTTTTCCACCCTTTTTACTTTTAGCCTAATTGTGTCTTATATTTAAAATTAGTTGCCTTTTTAATCCAGTCTGATCATCTCTTTCTATTGGAATATCTAGAATATTTCCAATGATTATTGATATATTTAACATGATTATTGATATATATAGATTTAAGCCTGTTGTATAGCTATCCCACCTGTGTTCCTTTTTCTTCATTTTCTGACTTTTTCTGGATTCACCTAATAGTTTTATGATTCCATTAGATCCTTTGTTGGCTTATTAGCTATAACTCCTTATTCTGTTATTTTTGATTTAGGCTTTGTAAGCTTCCCACAGTCTGCCTTCAGGTGATACACTACTTCAGACATGCACACGTAAGAAGCTTAAAAGAGCCCACTTTCGCCTCTCCCGCCTCATGGCTTTTATGCTGCTGTCTTGCATTTTAATTATACATGTTATAAACTTCACATTAGGATATTGCAATTTTTATAAAAATTTATCTCATATTTTTAAAAGATTTTATAAGAAAACATGTTAAGTATTTACCCATATAGTTACCGTTTTCAGTGCTTCTCACTTCTTTGTGCAGATCCAGATTTCTGCCTAGAATTCTTTTCCTGCTGCCTGAGGGAAATGTGTACCGTGTACAGGTCTGTTGGTGAGGAATTCTTTTTTTTTTTTTTTAATATTAAATTTTATTTAGTTACTTTTCTTTCAGGAATGTCTGTGTGGGAAAGTCTGAACTTAACCTTTGCTTTTGATGGGTTCGCTCGGGTTTTGTTGGTTCAGCACTTCATTTGTGAGAACTGTCTTCTCACTTGCATTGTGTCCAACAAGTTTCGGTTGTCCTCATCTTTCTTTCTCTGTGCGCAGTGTGTCTTTTTTACTGGCTGTTTTAAAAATCTTTCTTTATTGATGGTTTGAGCCATTAGATTGTGGTGTGCCTTATTATAATTTCTCAAGTGTCTCATGCTTGTGTTTTCTTGAGCTGCTAGGACCTACGTGGTTGATAGTTTTCATCAATTGAGGATACTTTCAGCCATTATTTCTTAAAAGATGTTTTATGTGCCCCCATCCCGTGTCCTTCTGTCCTTCAGGGCCTCCAGTTACCCATGTATCAGACCACTCGAAGTTGTCTCACAGCTCACCGCTGCTCTCTTTGTTGTTTTAAATTCATTTTTCTCTGAGTTTTATTTTGGATTGTTTATAGCAACGCCTTCAAGTTCATCTTTTCTGCAGTTACAAATCTGTCATCCCCTCCAGTCCTTCCAGATGCTGTTTTCCTCTCCTTGAGTACTTTTCTTACACACATGTGTTGATCACGACTCTGCTAACTATTGAGGAGGGGCTGCCAGCAGATCTGAGGTTCTCTCGTCACACAGCTCTGTTCTTCTCAGTACTCTCCCCTGAAAACACACACTGCCTTGACCTCACCAGAGTCTTAAAGCTCCTCATTTAGAGGAATCCTCCAGGCACCATAGCCTGGAAAATCTCCAGTTAACTGAGCAATTGCAGGACTTAACTGGTTTGCTTCCTTTCTCTCTGAGATTCACTGTCCTTCATTGTCCCGCATCCAAAGTGTTCAAAATCATTGTTTCATATATTTTGTTTCTGTTTCGTTTTATCTTGTTTCAGGCAGGAATATAAATCTTCCTTGTTATTTCGTCTTGGTAAGAAGCAATAGTCTCTGGTTTATTTATCCCATCTACCCCTGCATTTTATACACACTTTCCCATTAATTCAGTTAATTCTTCAACAACTGTTTTTAATAAATTAATCGCATGTTTTCTTCATGTTTACATTTTTCTAAGTGCTCTAACAAAATTGTATCAAATTCAGAGTTATTTTAATAATTTCCATGACTTGAAAAGCACCAGTTTTTTACATGACCCCGGAGATGTAAACCTCTTGAAATGTAGTGATTGTGACAACTGATGTTAGTACTGAACATTCTTTCTGCTTCTCTAGACTGAGGTCCAGTGTGTTCTTCTTCTGCATGTGTGCCCCGACATGATATTTTTGCTGATGGCCACCTGGGTGTACCAGTGCATTTACAGAACAAACCCATCTCCCACTAATTCAAGAAGCAC